ATATATATATATATGTGTGTGTGTGTGTGTCTTAATAAGACCAATAGATATCAAAACAATATTTTTTAAAAGATTTGTGTCCGGCTGCCTCTATGTTTGCTGCAGCATCACACAAAAATAATTGCACCAAAATGGATGCGGTTCTCACAGTTATATTCTAAGTTAATACAAAAGGTCGATCATTCAACACTGGTACCTATAAATTTTGGTAATGTGGTTATCCCCTTCAGTGCATCAGTGAAAGATTTAGGTATAATTATAAATAGTTCCCTTACTTGGCGGCCACAAATAGAATCTGTCAGCAGGAAAGTTTTCAGATCTGTATGCTCACTTCATAAACTGCGTAATTTCCTTCCTACTGCTACCAAAATTGCGCTATCCCAATCTCCTTTATTCCCAATTCTTGATTATGCCGATACTTGTTATCTGGATCTTACGGAAGACCAGCTTAACAAACTTGAGCGTCTTCAAAATGTTTTTATCAGGTTTATTTTCGATCTTAGAAAATATGATCACATTTCCGAGTATCGCACTAAGCTCAAGTGGCTTCCTATTCGTTTTCGCCGGAATACTTACATTCTTTCAATGCTCCACAATGTCCTTTTCAACACTTCTTCCCCTCACTACTTCAGATAGCGATAAGGTCGCCCATTGTTTTCTCATTGTGATTATTTCTTGTAATTATTTATATTTATAATAAGTTTACTATTGTAATCTTTTGGAGGAAACAATAAAGAGTATCTATCTATCTATCTATCCACATACATCTCGATACACCACCCATATAAAATCCACACGTGCAAAGCAACGAGTAATAAGCTAATATTTAATACATTTTCATAGGATTTATGCCTAATACCTTAAACATGCAAGGATACTAACTATATTAAAATGCCTGGCTGTTTTAATACAGTAGGTAGGTAATTAAGTATCCTTGAGTATCGAAGATATTCGAATTAAGTTAGTTATTTTATCGGTTCAGAATTGGCAATATACCTACTAATAATCACAGAGCAAACACTAGCGGAGCGCGAATCCGAATGATTTCGTTATTCGAATAATTAGTATTTACTAGTCTTTTTGCTCTATCCAGAAGATAGGGGAATTATAAAGAATAGTTAGTAGTGAATAGACGACGACTAAAAAGAAACGACAAATATCTGTTCAGTATTGGTTACTCTAACATCTTAAAAATTTGAAAAATACAAATAATAATTAATTTACTTACTATACCATACTATATCAGTCACTACCTGTCCACTGCTGAACATAGATTTCCTCCATAAGGGAGGTTTTGCCAGTAGTTGGCACACTGAACAGGCGGGTTGACAAACGCATTTAGTCTTTGATTATACCCATCCCTCGAATACTCTTACGATACCCTCAGGAAAAAAGGGGGTAGCCCATTCTATCCCGGAACTGCATGGCAAATTAATTTACTTTATGCAAATCTTTTGATAGCTAATGAGTATCGGAAATTGCAAATTTTTACTAAATATACTAAATTGGCAACACTATTAACCATTAAGAAAAAAAAAGCTTATTAGAGCGATCGGCTTAACTCGGCTATGTTCGTACTGACTCGTATATAAACAACTACTGATGAATTATTTTAGCAATTACTAGAAACGAATAATGAATAGTTTTGTATGGATATATAGTATTAATAAATTTATTAGTCAAATGATTTTTAGATATAGTCGAATAATTCGAATTAATTATACAGTCGAAAAATTTGTAATCATGTTAGTAAATTAACGCATCGCTTACATACATACAAAAATCTACTTCTTTATGCACAAAAGCTGTAAATGATATTACAAATAAATGAATCGAGTTCCCAACTTGTTATCTAAGATAATAACTAAATAACTACTATATTGTAAAATTTTGTTTTACTAGTATTAGCTGTTTCCTGACTTTGCTCGTGTGCATCACTGTATAAATTTAACATGTACAATTATGTGTTAAAATGCGATTTGAGCTACCCATCCCAGTATACAAAGTTTTATTCAAATGCCTACGTTTAACTATTTAAGCGTGATTGAGTAACAAACATCTTTACAAACTTTCACATTTATAATATTATTAAGATTTTTTACTATAAAATACAAATGTACCTATCATCGAATATAATGCTTATCTTAATTTTAATTAATTAATTATCTGCGGCAATAAGTGTAAAGCATTTTTCATAAACATTTTTATTAAATTGTAGTCTTTCAAAGAATAAATAAATTACAACAGTAGGTCACACTAAACTATATATACTGCAAAGCAGGTAAAGTCGCATTAACATAACAAATTCTACGTATGTTTGTTTGTTTGTATGCCGAAATGGAATGATGAGTATTTTTCAATACTTGCATGAGTTTTTTTATGACATCTAATATCGTATGTACCAAACATTGAAATGTAAATTTTTAAAATATCATCCATGAAAAATCAATCCTATTAGAATTAAACATACAAATGGGAAAGTTTGTAAAGATATTTAGATGTTTATCAGGTACCTAATTATATTAAAATTAGATTTAATTCATTTAAACTTGACCACAAATAGGCCATAACTTAACATTTATGCTACATTTTCTATCAATTCACGTGAGTAATGCCGCGGAATACAACTTAACCAAAACTGAAGTTGATAAGTATGAAATTTCGCAGAGATTCTATTTTTTTATAACATAGGGGGCAAAAATCATATGGCTTACTTGATGGTACCATAGACACCGACAATATCAATTTGCAGGTGTATTACCGACCTTTTAAGAAGGAATATGCAAATTTTTTAAAGGGTTCAATGTTGTATCCGTTTCCATAATAAATAATGAGATTTCAGAAAATAAAAAGTCTAGTATCATCTATTAGATAACATTAAATATTTAAAATTTCTAAATAATTCGCATAAGTTAATGGTTTCATTGAGAAAGTTGAATAACACACTATCTCTGTTAAAGATAGCTATAGATAGATACCTAGTTCTGTCACTAAACTATATTTTTTAATAAGTTTGGATTCCTTTTCTCAACCTTATTTATTCTTGATGACACAAAGGGGTTCACATATCTACCTCTATGTCTACCTGCTCTTAAAGGGCAATTTTAAAGAGAATATAAACGCAATAAGACTTCAGATTTAATTGAATCTAGGGGATGTGATGCGATTTATAATTACTTCTAAATACATTTAAAATTATACAAATTTAAAATTGTATTTAAAGCAACATCGTCTGGACGGAATCTATTTTCTTCTGATTTAGTAATATTAAACTGTGTAATTAGAAACGCTTATGAGCAAACAAAGAAATATGGATAAGGATGGCCATTTTATATTAAACAAATAAACGTGGTATGAAAAATAAAAACTCGTTTTACAATATACAAAGTAAACCTATACTTTAATTATTAGTTCTACGTAAAAAATTTCAGTCCCCATTTTCTTAAAAACATCCGTAATGCAAATCAATGACATAATCGTTGTTGAAATATACTGTTGTGATGACCGAACAAACTAAACGAAGAAACGTGATTTTACATGATTAAGCGCGAGAGACTGTATCGGTACAGGATGGCGACGATTTTCTAATATGTAACTCTTAGTAAAAACCTGCGCATAGGTAGTGAAGTATGTACCTACTCAGTTATGTTAGAGAACAGATACAATCGCGGCAAAAAACGCTGATATAGCTAGTCAGAGAGTCAAAGAACATAAACAATTTCACTTTTCTGTTATCTACCTACGGTCGGTAACAAGTAGAGATAACTTGTCATATGAGTATAAATTATTAACCTAAGTAGCAGATATTCGTTGAATACCTAGCGAGCGCTCTCTCCACGGACAGCGAGCAGGTAATTTTTGCAAACTTGTTTTTAATTCACTCGCTCTTTTACTTTATAACTGAGTGACTACTTGTCGTGTTCATGTAACTCCTATATATGTTGATATGATTCCTTTCAATAATATTCTATATATATATAGGTTTTTCCATCATTTTTGATATGTATATACTAGGTCCCAAAATAAACTGATTTCAAAAAGTAACAATTCAATTCGGTTATAGGTAAATCCCATATGGATTCTGAGTATTATAATTATTTCATATTGTGTGGATTGAATACCATATCTTAAATGATTATATTTACAAATGAAATTAATTAATTAAATTAAAGAGTGTGATAAATAATTTATAGTGAATTAAAAATTCATTTATTTAAATGAGAATTTCACAAATTTAAGAATTTACAGAAAGAACGTTCAAATTAGATACCTATAGAATAGAATATAATTTAATTACACAACTAGAGTAACTCTCATAGAACAACAGAATAAGATTGAGGTATCAACAACAAAGTAAAATAATACAGTCTATAATGCAGTAAAACCATGAAACTGTTATTATAAATTAATAAAATATCTAAGTAATGTAAAATACATCCAGATACGTAAATCCAATTGAGAACGGAAAAGGTAAACTAGGTAAATAGGTAGATATCTGCCTACTTTTAACTTAGTTACACATAACAAACGCACTATACTTATTACCAAACAGGCAAACCAGATCAGGTAGAATTTTAATCCAAGTCTCTATATTAATTTCATATATTTAGTATGTATAAATTCATCGTATTGCAGTAATTTGGTATTGGTTTATTAAATAATAATGGTAATATCAGTCAACATAGTCCTTATCTATTTAATTAAAGTAAATACCTTCCATTCTATATTATTATTAAAATTGTCACGGCTCAACAGATAATTCGAATTACACCTATATCGCAGCCTACAAGTCGGACAATCTAACAGTCCGACGCTGACCACTGGTCGGTGTCGATACGATGCGAAGTGGGACACCTGACTTTCTGACCTAGAGACGCTCTTGACAACACTACGATTACAAAATTGCATAAACAAATCAAAAATATACAGAAAACTTTCATTTTAGCTAACAAAGCAAATAAGTTTCATTTAATAAAACATCCCAATAGAAAAATCCTTACCTTATGAAAATATAAATAACTCGTCCCTCATGAAGCTTGTCCAAAGGCCAAGGAAACGTATTTCGGTTAGTGCGCGAACAACAACATTTCACTAGTTTTCGTGTTTATCAAACAAAAATCGCCGCATTCACATACTAATTATTTTTAAGAGAAACTGCGCGATGTCCGTTCTTACGCGCATTTAGATCGTACCGTACAAGAACACTAAGCTGCGTACAGAGTCCGAAGTTGGCACGTCTGTTCGAACGGAGTGAATGACCACAACACAACCGCACGCGGCGCGCGCAGTGAGAGTTGTGCCTTCATCCATTCTATTCCCAGTGGCGTGTCGCAGCGACCGAGGAAAGCGAGGGCTGCATCCGCGAGATGCTGCACCTTGCACCTGCTCTCGACATGACGAGGCGCGGCCTCGACGGCACCGCAGAGGACCGTCGTCAATGCAGCTATTACTGCAATGCCCTCCCCGCGGAGGAAAGTGATGTCAATCATTGTGAACTTGTGTAGCTTAGGTCATTGACCAAATAGAAAACAAGTAATTTAAATTAATTTTAATTACTCTGATGATATAATGACAGTCATTCTTGGTATTATATAATTGTCTGTAATAGCACAAACTTTGTCACTATTTTTTTAAATTACTTTATTGAATATTTTTATTTATATGTAAATATACAAGTACATAAAATACCGTACATAATATTAATTTTACAATTGAAACGATCTGCAGAATAATTCAGCTACTATAAGGAATACGAACACAGGATACATGGCTTTAGAACTAATTAAACAACTATAATTGTAATAAGCTAATTGCAATACAGCTATGAGTTAATTACAATTGGTTTAAAATCTCGTAAATACCAATAACACAGGATCCTTACCAAAGAGAGTATACAAAGTTCTTTAAATGTCTCTATATCACACACTCTATCGTTACTAATTAATTTTGCCGCCAAGCAACTTGCTTGCATTATTTATATATTTAGTTTCTAATCGTCTGAATCAATCTAGAATCATTACACAATTTTTTTTTACTACAATGAAACTCTGCTGACTCACAAATCATATAACAGTGTTCTCAAATAACATCTGATCTCTCGATTATTCGTCATAATTTTCATATTAAAGTTCATGATTTATTTTTTTTTATGTGTGAAAATAGAATACCCCGCCTGAAACAATTACAATGGTAATCCGCCTGAGCTATTTGGTTTTAGCAGGCGGATTACCATTGTACAGCGAGAGATGATAGATGAGAATAAAGTTGATTTCAGTTGGTCAAAGCTTCCCCGACTAAACGAATGAAAAACATTAATAACAAACCAAATTAATCCGATTTACAGCAATAGGCTCGCCCTTACTTATTGGATTCTCAAATACTTTGCGAAATTTGGCATACTGAGTATTACGTGATCATCACAACAAAAGTGATAAAATTAGAATATTATTATGATATATGACAGGATTATATTTCATTTTTCAAGTAACTAAAGGTATATTGTGTAGAAAAGGTGCAAATAGACTGATGAATGCTATAATATTAGAAAGAACAGATGGTCATACGGTTGGTTGCCAGCACAAAAACATAATACGTTACTCATGAGTGAGCACAGACCATTGGTGCACCATACGTTACCAACCCCATTGTTTGTCCCTTACTCGCAAGTCCATTGACTTATCAGCTCATCACTGTCCCACGTTGGTACCGTATACGGGGTGCTGGTGTTGGTGCAAAGTTGTTTAGACGTTGTCCGCGGCAACGGTAGTACGATAAAAGGCACGCGGCTGCGGAGCAAACAGACGTGCACGTTGCTTCCATTCGACAATACTACATTCTTTTAACAAACATTTTTTCATATTCAAACAACAGTAATAAAATCAAGTGCAAACATCATTATCATGTAAGTTATAAGTTTATTGATTGAACAGTGCCAAGTTTAATACCCTTGATATCAGCTGATCACGCTAAGTAGAACTCAGTTTTTCACTCGACCTAGAATTTGTACTTGACCTGCCCCTGCATTATAATTCTATTTTTAGATTAAAAATACAAGTTCCAATAATTATAAAATACTTAATAAATATTTCCAAATAATTCCTAAATAAGTTATAAAGCTCGAATTTATTTACATGAAAATAGTAGTCATCAATAAAAAGTACATAATTAACCCCTTAAATTTTATGTACAAAATTTAATACTTTCTCTAAGCGTCTACTATATAATTGCACTATTACTTTTTTATAGATATTAACATACAAATACTGTAATGGCATTATTTTGGCATTACATAATAATAATAAATTTATCTAATGATATAACTCTGGACATTCACCTATCAGCTTAAATAAATAAATTCAATAGAATTATGTACTCTACCGAAATCTTCTGAGAATAGACTTGTAGGCAAATGCCTCCCAAACGACGTTAAAAATATATGTACTTAACTGAATATTTTTTTATAGCATTTACCTTGTAATTATTTAATAGTTTTTTTTTCCAGTTACTTCACTTCATTACATTTTCGTAACTATAGTAACAATTACGTTAATTCTAAAGTCAGTATCGCTTACATAGTTAATTACTTTGAAAATTTAAACTGCATCGAATGATTAGGTTACTTCTCCCCTCATGGATACTAAGGAACAGGGGGAAATTAATCTTCAACCTTCATAAACATAAAGTTTCTGATTGTATTAAACACTTTGCTAATATTCAGATAAATGAATAGAATGTATAAATAGTAGTTAGATACATATTATATTTTTCAAGATTGTATTATATGGATTATATGATAGTGCTACTGTGCTAAACACTCAAAAGTTTATTGGATAAACATTTTTATATTTAAGAGGTTATTAAGTATTCAAATCGGTAATCGAAAACAATAACGGATATCTATTTCTATTGAAAATAGATATCCAATATACTATAATTACAATTAGGTTTCTACTATTTTTGAAGAACCTTATATTGTAATCTTCAGGAAAACTAGATAAATAAATAACAAGATATAATAAAAAAACACGATTACGAATCGAAAATTCAAAATGTATAATATAATAAGTCAATTAATAGCATTTCATAATGAAAGGTTAGTTATAACATGACCATTCAACGTATTATATGAACATAGATACTGTAAAATATTAAATTTGCTTAGTTTAGACACAGAAATAGTTCAGTTCATTCAACAAGCTATTATAATTTATATAAACAGGTGTAAAATCTAATTATTTACTTTTAATATTTTGTTTCAGACGTTAGAGGGCGTGTAACGTAATGGAGATATATCAAACGACATAATGACATTATCTAATACTAGTAATCAAGATTTAACCACAAAGACTGATATAAATGATGGATCTACTAACTTGGATTCATTATACTGTTCACATCTTTGGTCAAACAGTAATTTACGTAGAGCAATTTTAAATGCGCCATGTGCAGAAAACAAAATAATTAAATATTGTTATACATGTAAAGGAAAAGTTAGGAAATATGAAATAAAACTACCTAGCGACAATTTTGTTCCAAATCATCATTCAACTCCTAATGAAAAAATAATCAAACACATTGAATACCCTTTAGGAGAGTTATTAGAAAATTCCGTCGGTGACGGCCCTCAGCTTTGTAGATCAAGTGATAAAAAAATCAGAAATCCCGAGGCTGACCTTGAAACCGTAAATGCTGACAATACCGACTGCATTCCATCTATATCCAGCCAAATCGATTCCAGCTTTCGTCAAAAATTTACTTCATATGAAATGCGACCCAATGAAATCAATCAAAGGAGATTGAGAAAAAGCTTGAGAGGCATTGGATGTATTGTGAATTTTTCTTTGACTGATAGTCCTGTGAAGAAACGAACTCAGATACAGGCGTGCTCAATAAGTGTGATGATTGTTGCAATCGTAGTAATAAGTTTTGTTTTAGTAAATTTTACTACTCCTAATTTTACTCGTGCAACTAAAGTAGTTAGTACAATCGTAGTGCCAACAAACAAAATTAAATCGAATAATAATTCTTTTTCTACAACAATTATTTATACAGATGACACTTTATTGACGGATGAGAGCACGACAGTTGACCCCACAACTGTAGAACCTTTTGTTCATACTACTGAAAATATAACATTAATGTCCAGCATCATATCAAAGATTCGAAAAAATATTAGAACATATCCTAAAGTTTATAAGGAACGTAACTCTTATAAGGTAAAAGACATAATAAATAGAGATTTGTCAGAAAAATTTTGTTCGTGCCAAACTAATGAAGTCTGTATGTTAGATGAAAACAGTGGAAAATCGATATGCAAACAATCGATAGATATCGATGATCCCACAGGTAGTGAAAACTGTTTCCTCATATTGAATATGCACTGTGCTAATTTTTATGTTTAATACCATAATATAATTTTGTAGGTTGTGGAGGGTTGTGTGCTTTGGAAACAGAAGCATGTCAATTGGTGGATAAAATGCGAGGAGTTCGAGTATGTCGTCTTTTGACATTGGTGACGTGTTCAGAGCAGGAGTGGCGATGTCGTAATGGGTTGTGCGTGCGAGCAGAAGCACGCTGCGATGGTTCCATACAATGCTATGATCGCTCTGACGAAATGCATTGTGGTAAGAATTACATGCCCATTTTACAGCACGGAAATTATTACGTTATAAGCAGAAGATTGCCCTGTTATTTAAAAATACAAAACTATACTGTCACATTATTGACATTAAAATAAAAATTATAATAAATTTATTTCATGATACTCATAAAACAGTAATCTTACGAAACTATCAAATTAAAATATCAGGTTAAAAAATAGGCTTAGAGAAATTGCACCTCAGATTCGGCCCCATTGTATCTATAATTAAGAACACAACATTACAAAAACAAAGTAATAATAATATATCATTTCTCAGTACAGTATGAAGGTTTTAGCAATAAACGCAAACAGTAAGAAGAAAAAAGATTAGAAGGCGAACTTTGTACTTATACTTGTATATAAACTTCTATTTCAATTAGTTACCTGCTTTCAAATTTTTGCTATTTTTAAAGACCATTTTAATTAGTAATTACTGATTTTCAGATTGTGACCTGACTAAACAGTTCCGATGTGGACATTCCATATCATGCTTTCCAAATACCAAGCTATGTGATGGTATCATAGACTGCTGGGATGGATTTGATGAAGTTAATTGCACCACCGGTAACTGTTACAACCTAATTATGCATTAAGTTAATATTGCACTCAGAATACTTTACTAGGCGTTTTATTTTTTCTGAAAAGTTATAAAATTGATTTACCTTAAAATTTTATATATATTATAATCTTCGCAAATGTAAGTAAATGCTTTATATACCGTTCAGTAGGAACTGGGTTACGAATGTGCTCGCTCCATCGAGAACACAACCTCGCTCAAACCTAACGGGTCATCCTACGTTACCTACTCTTTATTTATTTATTATCATTATCTTATAAACACAACTTATTTAGAACAATAATAAAATTATCATAAATTAAAACGCAGCGGATACATCGCGTACCTATCTACTATATAAGCTCAGTTTCAAAAATTTATCAATAGGAGAATCGAAATGGTTCCTACTGATTATACATATCTAAGCATAAAATACTTCCTTAAGAAAATCTTCAATTGATATATGTTTACATTAAACAAAGTGGCAGTGATTTGAGCAAGGTACTTTAGGTATCACGGTCCTCCTCATGTTTTTGTCGTGAAGCAGTTAGGGCTGACATAGCTATGTTTCGGTTTGAAAGGAGGTATATAGTAGTAAAATTATAGGGTACGGAGGCATAAGACTATTGTCCTTAGGAGTGAAATTGCGTACCATGTATACCATGGGTATCAAAGTGCATAGTCACTTAGATTCACATAAATTCTGTGCTCTACAATACTGGGGAAAAAGAACAGGAAGTCGCAGATGAAATATGTTATTTAAGTTAAATTACGTTGATTTAAGTTGAAAGACAAAATAAGTCACCAACTCTGACTCTACCTTTCTAACATTCGTCAATTCTTCACAGTTAAAAATAGGTATAATTGTGGTAATACAAATTTGAAGAGGTATATTTAACTCTATTGATCTTCAATTGTAAAACAATAGGAAATGAGATAATATTCAGGATGAGATAACATTCTAATACCTAAATTAATACTCCTATCTTTGTCTCTAATAAGAAATTTTTCAATTTAATTCAAATCAAAAAATTTTAGTCCTACTCAATAAAGTAAGAAGAATTGTCTGGCATTGTGACCTTTTTTACATTCACTCTGGATGTATTTCAGAATGTCCGAAAGATCAGTTTACTTGCACCGACGGTCAATGTATTCTGTCGTCAAGATTCTGCGATGGTTTCGCCGACTGTGAAGACGGCAGTGACGAACCCAATGGCTGCGACGGCGGTTGCAGCGCCCATGAACTTCGTTGTGTGAACCATCGCTGCGTACCTCATGCGGCTCGCTGTGATGGCCATGACAACTGCGGTGACGCAACGGACGAATTACATTGTTCCTAACATAAATTAAAACTGTTTATTGGTAAAAACATTATGTAACATATGAAAATATAGTGCGAGTGTACTGAATAGTACGATATTGTGTCACCTACAAATAATAATGTTACAAAGTTTTACACATCTACGAACAAAAAAAAATTATAAATATGACTAATTTTGTAGTTAGTCGAATAGTATTCGAATATTTTATTTTAATATAACCTGAAGAATACCAATAAGTGAACAACCTAACAAATACATGAGGGGCGTTCGATTGCAATGTAGCATTAAATTTAACTAGTCATACTGATATTATGATCGAATGTATATTTATTTGTCATATAGGAATTGAAGAAAGAAATTTAATATCAATCTAACATTTATAATTTATATTCGCTTCCTAATAGTATCTACCTATCTTACTACTACTAACTTTGTAAATGTGAAAGTTTAGAATATAAAAGTAAAAGTAATTTTTGTTTACTCAACGGATTAGATATACGTATGAACTATATTGGATTACTAGTTTTGAAATAAATATCAAAAGTAAATAGTGAATAGGTATATACTGTTAATGCTTGTAATCATTGGATGATACTTATGTATCTGTTTATCTATGCTTATGTTTCGATATCTGCACCTGTTGCAAAATTAGGGATGTTTTAGGTTTCAAGTCAATACCTGTTTGACTAATAAGTCTCAAACGAATTGACTAATTTACGAGTCAATTTGGTATTTGTGGTATTGATTGTTATTTATAGCTTTTAGTGAAATTATGGAATAGTATAAGTGTTCATTGCAATGGTTACGATTTTAATGTGGCTTTTAATCGAAAGCTGGTACAATCTGGATAGTTTATAATTACTTTTACATATAGTAATTTGTTTTTATTTTTTTATTTTCAGCTACTTAGTTACTTAGCAGTTGTTTGTGCTTTTGCATGCAACTTGTCGTGTTTTACCTTTAAGTTAAGATTTTAAAAGATCCTTTTTTCAAAATCTAACATTCTAAACTTAGTAGTTTTGGCTGTGAATAGTCAGTCAGGACAAATGATTTTATAAGTATAGATATAATATTTCCAAACTCCCATTTAGCCACATAATTGTGTACATAAGTAATAAAAATAATCTTATGTACAAAATATTGGATACATAATATTATTTTTTAATAAATCTTAAAGAAACCGTTGCATGGTAATGATAACGATGGTAGGTAACCATCATTTACAAGCAAAACCCTATAACCAGTGATTGGAAAACCGTACCGCATGTAGGTTAATATTGTTTAACTAAGTCATATTTAAGTATAATTTATTATCTGTAAGTTTGGTGATGAATTCAAAATAAACATATTTTCAATTCGGTTTATTTTATTTCGAGCTGGTTGATAGATAACTAATAATAGATAATGGTACAAATAAAATTGTACTTATTGTTATTAAATTTATATAAATAAATATTATTTTAATACAATTTAATAACAATGACTATACAATTTTATGAAATAAGTATTTATAATTTAAGTTACACATAAGATTTATGTTTCTATAAAATTACATTTTATCTGTTTGACATAATGTTACTATGTAATCTTACACATGCAGTGATAATTCATAATGCACCCATTACAATTTGTATTTGAATTAAATGTGGACTTGTTCTTTATAAGTTTTTTTTTTTTACTATTTAGTAAATACAGATTTGCGTAGAAAATAATAAAAAATATATGCTTAAAATAATAAAATAAAATAAAGTTATTATGTAATCTTACTAATATAATAAAATTGTAACTAGTAACTAACCTATATATGGAAAATATTTAAGAAAAATTTGTGAGGGGTCTTAAAACTTATTAAAAATAGAAGGCAAAGCAATTATTTTTAGAAATTATGTTTGTTTGTTCCAGTATCAGACAAAAACTACTACACGAATTTGGATGGGGCTTTCACAGTTGTGCTCCTGAAGGCCTAACTTAAAAATTGGTGTATTTATCCTGATACATTATCTAAAAGTCAAAGCAATTATTATTATTACCTAATCAAGCTGGCTACCACAAGGGCTTTAATACCACAGACCACATGCATACTCTACAGCAGATTATACAGAAGACCGAAGAGTATAATCTGTCACTATGTCTGGCATTTGTGGACTATGAGAAAGCCATTGATTCGGTCGAGACGTGGGCGGTACTACAGACCAGATTAAGATACCTTGTGTTATGAGGAACATCTGGGAACACAACACAGTACACTCAGATCGGAACCAATTTACAAAAGTTCATTTCAATCCGACCGGGAATTGAACCCGAGACCTTATTTACGCAAAGCAGTCTGCCTACCACTGTGCTACAGAGGTCATAGCTCGCTAATGTCACGACTAATGCGACTAAGGGAACTTAATAGACGAGAAATGGGCAGCAGCGTCCTTCTTAAAAAATCACCTAACATACAATATAGGGGGGAAAGGGATTGTTAGTAATGGAGACTGAGAATCTCATTACTAACAATATACCCAACCAGGTCAACCTCCTCGCGGTTCCCCCTGGAAACTATCATGGTTAATTCCTGATGAATTCATCACGATGGGCTAATTGGCCTGTTTTCATTCTCATCCATCACCCGTTACTGGTGCTCCACCAGCGTATCCCGTTAGCACAGGCAGGGTTACCATACCATTTTCACCTATCAAAAAAAACATACAATACATAAGTCCTAACTAGCACAGCCCAACTGTAGTTGCCAATCCGCCTGCCGAGCGGCTTATGTTCAGCAGTGGATAGTTAATGATTGACATCATCATATCATACTAAACAAATTAAAATCAAATCATGTTTATGGAATTTGGCATAGTCATGCTATTGACTTTTCAAGTATTTCACTCGTTATATAAAATAATTATGCTGTCAACCTAATATCAGTAGAGAGGCATTTTGCCTACCTACCTTATTATTAATAATAGGGATTAGTAATCTCATTGTTAGCAATCTATGTTATTAGGTCGACCTCCTCGAGGTTCCCCTCGAAAACTAAGGTAGGCGATAATATCAATCCATTGGCATTCCGGTTGTTTTTTACACACAAGATTTTGGTGAAAGCTCATAACTACTGATCAAGTATTTTTAAGTAGTACCTGGGTAAACTCTTAATTAATAAGACTTCAAACTCACGATGTTCTGAAAACTCTAATTGTAAAATAATCGTGTAGTACTTATTGTTATAGAGAATCATCTCCAACGCGACATAAAGGCAATGAGGGATGAAAAGTTACTGAAGTACCTACGAGGGTAAAGTGAAAAGTGCAGCAATATGTCCATTCACCCCTTTTATGTACCTACTAACCTCGTAACTGTATCAAAATCACAACACTTAGATATTTTGGAATAATACAAAAACTACGTAATAACTTACTTTTGTTTATGAAGCTCCATAGTAAAGTTAAAAATTATTAAAAACACTTTCAAACCAAGTTTAGTCGTAATTACAAAACACAAATAAAGTTTCTGGTGCACAAATTTTATTATTTCATATACCACTGCTTCGAGGTAAAATTTGGAGACTTTTATTAACTTCACAAGCTTTCAATTTTCCTATTTTAAAAATTTTATATTCTACTAAATGGTAATACTTTTTGCAATAACTGGTAGGTTGTTATTTTTTTCATTCAATTTCAAATGTTCGAAACCAGTTACGTCCTTTTTCAGACCGCGATCCCTATTGACCCCATATTATCGTAACTATTTTGTAGACAGTCTTATTATGTTACTTTTAAAATTACATAAAAGTCAACTGCTGACTGTTATTTTGTATTATTTGCTTTCAAAATAATGTATAATTTTAATTTTTATATCACCATTATAATAAATAGTTATTTTTTTAAATATTTTTATACAACATATTTAAAGAATTTTGTAGTTACTGGTATTTAGTTTTAAATGTTAACAATTGTCTTTCTTTTTTTTAACGTTACTTTTAACTAAAAGTTCTTGTTCTTAGGTTACTTTCATAGACATAGTCTCTGGTCTCTATAATCTGTGGTTACTTTCACAACTGCGTCATACTTTCGCTTTAGCAGTCTTATCTCCTATTTCTATTTTGAGATTTTCAACTCTTATTTATTGAAGATTTCAAATTAGACTGTCCAAGTCATAATTTTCTATCATTACCCACCTAAGTAAAATCTCTTTAATTGAATAATAATATTAAGACGGTGTGATACTATATAACCATGGCCGATAGTGACGATGAATATGACCGCAAAAGACGCGATAAATTCCGGGGTGAAAGAGGAGCCGCTGAGGGCAGTAGCTATCGCAGCAGTGATCGTCGTGAAGAAAGAAGTAGAGGTCGTGAAGATTGGTCGGAGAGGTATAATTTTTTTATACAATGTCTAAATATATTTGATAATACAAACAATTTAAATTACAAGATACAGAGGCCTAACACCTTAGTTCTTAGAAATGACAACGCATGAAGGTTGTTATGGGTGGCACAGTTTGGTCTGTGATGTTCATGGTACTGTTCATGTTTATAGTTGACAGTTACCACTTTTCATCAGATGGGTTGTCAGTTTATTTGCCATTCTAAATTGCATATTTTTTTTTCCTTTATTCAACATCTTTATTTGTCTTACAGATCTCAGCCTATGCATTTTGAAACTCCTAAAACCCATTCCCAAGTCTCCAAACCTACAAAACGTTCTGTAGCTATAATTGTAAGGTATTGAAAGTCAAATGTTTAGCTAGGTACTATGAATTTTATTGATTTTAGATCTTATTGTATTTTATATTAGATATAATAAACACTGGAGCTGATTCTAAGATCCTATTTTTCTATAGCTATGTTTTAACTTAATATTTTGATCTGATAATTTCTTGAAATTACTTTTCATGTTCATATTGTTCTTTGTAATAAAAATGTTGCTGTAATATTAAATTTAAATTTTAGAGATAGGTTTATAGAAATGACCCCTTAGAATCTCCCCCACTATCCTAATTTTATAGAAATATTTATCAGTAGTTAGTATGTTTAGTATATAGACTAAATGTTTTTTTTTTACCTATAAATTATTATATATTTATTGAATTCACCAAATGCCATTCGCCTTTGCTTATTTATATTAAACTCTTGATATGAGAAGCTAGGATTAAGTGAACAATGTTTAATGGGTAGATGGTAACCCAAAATACCTAGAACATTCAATGAATCTACTAACATAGTTTATTGTTTTGTGCTATAAAGTCATCATCATCATCATATTACTAAAAAAACTCCAACGACCCCCACACCTACAAACCACTGAACTGTGCTGAACATAGGGTTACCTCATAGACTCCCATAAGGAAAGGTCCTGAGTCATCTACATCCATTAACTCCCTGCAATGCATTTTTTTTTGATGGGTGAAAATTGTATGGTAACCACGCTTGCGCTAACGGGATATGCTGGCAGAGCACCAGTGAAGGGTAATAGATGAGAATGAAAACAGGCCAGTAAGCCCATCATGATAAATTCATCAGGAATTAATTACATTGCTTTAACCTCATCATTTATGCTTTAACCTTCCTGTATAAAAACCTAATTGGGTGTATTGCTGGCAATGGAGCACTAAGGCTCCATTACTAACAATTCCTTCTCCAGTAAAAGGGACAATGTTACATGCAATCTGACAACTTATACACAAAATGGTTAAATATCAGTAATACAACAGGGGGAAAGGGCTTGTTAGTCATGGAAATTTAATAACTCCCTTTTTAGCAATATTACCTATCAAGTTGACATTGGCAACATTTTATTTTTCAGGTTGTTCTTGAACATAGGCCTCCTCCATATTTCGCCATTGGTTTTCTTGCAGCTTGTCTCCAGCCTTTGGGTAAATCATCCATTGGTCTACCTTGGTTTCTTTTCCCATCATGCAGATACCGCCCAATTATGTCTTGGGATCATTTATTTTTTTATGACCTTATAATGTGCCCAGTCTATGGCCTTTTAAGCTTCTTTATGAGACACATCTGTAGTGCCAGTTCTTTTCAAATATCAATAAGTCACTGTTTGTCCTTCAAAGTGTTAAAGCCCATGATTGGCAGCCCTATATTAGCACTAGCAGGACGCAATTGTTATAAACTTTTTTCTTGTCAGATACTAGTATTGACTTACTTTTTATTATTTCTTTTAGTGACCAATAAGGAGACCAACTATTATTTATTCTTTTTTGCATCTCTTTAAGCATTTGTTGTTTAGATAATTTATCCCAGTATTTATACTCTCCTACATATTCAAGCTCTTGGTCCTCCATTACAAGTTTAGTTTTTTTTTCCTGTTTGTCATTCCTTTTGTTTTGGTGATGTTTATACTCAGTCCCACTTTTTTACTTTCTGTAGCAAATTCTTGGACCATCTTTTATAAAATCTTAGAACTGTCTGCAAACAGCACCAAGTCGTCAGCAAACCTTACATGTGTCAATTTAATTCTGTTAATATTTATTCCATAATAATCCCAATTCAGGTTTCTGAATATATTTTCTAAAACAGCTGAGAAAAGTTTTAGCGACAAAGGGTCTTCCTGTCTCATGTCTTTTTTAATTTTGAATACATTCCCTATTGTTTCAAGCTGAAATTTTGCAGTTCTATGTTCATATATTTGTTTAATAATTCGGATATATTTTTTATTTATGCCTTATTTGTAGTGTCTCATATATGGAACTATGAAGTAAAGAATTGAATACTTTATTATAATCTACAAACGCAATGTAATGTGATTTTTCTGTATTCTTTGAACTTCTCTATCAATTACTTTACTACATGTGTATGGATAGAGAAGTTGCTACGAAATCCAGCTTGTTCCCTAGGTTGCTGTTCATCAAGGCATATAGTAAGTCATGTTAGAAGGATTTTGAAGAATATCTCATATAGATTATACATTTGATAGGTCAATAGTCCATTTTATCTTTGTCTCCTTTTTCAAGACAGTTGTAGATTTAGACCATTAGATCAGAATCACTTTACTTGATAGGATTTCATTGAAAAGTTTTGGCAGTATTTGGATTATAATATCTATTTCACTGTCTCGTTACTTATTTTGTCATCTCCATGTGCTTTGTCTTTATTTTTGGTCAGAATAGCTTTCCTTACTTCACTTTCAAGAATACTAGGAATAGGATATTCGTCAACTCTGTCTTTTTTTTTGTCGTTATAATAGTATTTATTTTTAGTATTTACTTGCTATGTATTTTTGGGTGTGAAATAATAAAATTGATTTACTTCTTGTTTACATATTATAATTTATTTTCTTTTAAATTACTTTGTTAATTTATATATATTCTATTTAGACCTTCAGCTACTATATTTAGTATTATAAATTCTTTAAAGGTCACGTGGTGGTCGCTCCGGTCCCGACTATAGGGACTATCGAGGTGGAGCTGGTGCCAGCCGTGGTTATTCACCAGTTAGAGGAGAAGGGCCACCAAGCAAACGTATTAGACCAGATTGGCCTATAGAAGACCGGCGATATGGAGGGATGCCTCATGACTCATATGGATCATATGGTTGGGCACATGATCACTTTGGGCCACATCCAGCCCACCAAGGGTACGGTCAACCAATGCCACCAGTACCAGCTAGGTATGTTAATAAACCGTAAGTGTTATAAATTATTATCAATAGTGAAACTACAAATTCTCATAAAAAAAGAAATATTTACTAATTATTTTTGTATGATAATAGAGACAATGTGCTACCGATGGGGCCAGCAGATGGTCCACCTACTATGATGTCATTCAAGGCATTCTTAGCTGCTCAAGATGATTCCATCACTGTTGATGACGCCATACAAAAGTATAATGAATACAAGCTTGAATTTAGGAGGCAGCAGCTTAATGAGTTTTTTGTTGCTCATAAAGATGAAGAGTGGTATGTTACATTCAGTTTTAATATTATTTAAAGAGAGAAAGTTCTTGCTTCATTATTAATATACTATTAAAATGTCCAAGTGAAAATGTTTTAAACCATTTACATTTTGTATTGTAATATTTACTTTCTTTATTTTAAAGAAATAAGTAATTAATTCAAATTGCTATTCATTACAATTTGCAACTGTTTAAAAAAATCTAAGCTTGCAATCAATGAACTTTTGAAATTTTTACTCTATTCATTAAAATATTGTTCTAGAAGATGTGCTTAGATTTCTTTAAATGTGTTATGCAAATCTTAACAGTTAACCTTTTTTCCCTACAGTCTACAGCGTAATCGTGTGGAACGTTGTGCTGGACAACATTAAGAAAATTTTTTGCCACTTTGTACAAATGATAAATGTGTGTAGCTAGATATTATCGCGTTGACCAGTAGCGCGCAATGCTACAGGTTTCGTTACTGTTAGGGGTAGGGCTTACGTATTCCACATGTGTGGAACAGGTGAGACTACGATTTTTTAAATTTTTGTAAGAGATTTTAATTTTTATAAATTGATCAACATTTATGGATTCTAATCAGGTGGTTTACTTTAATAAGTGTTCGAGACTGTTTCTCACATTTTGAAAGTAGGGTAACTTTCAACTTTAATAATGTCCTTTAAATTTTACATTTCATGCATTAAAAGTATAAAGTTCTTTCCCTCCCGTTATACAATTATGAAATTAGTTCATAGTTTATCTTCTTAACACTATAACCCAATAGTAAAATATTTACAAAAATAACCTTTTGATATTAGCTGTTTGTAGATTAATAGTATGTTTTCACAATATGTAAAGTACAGTGTATAAACATAGATTTTATTGTTTGTTAGGTTCAAGATTAAGTACCATCCTGAAGAATCCGTGAAAAGGAAAGAAGAACAACTATGTGCTCTGAAGGTAAATAAATACCTAGTGCATTTTATTTGCATTATAAAAATAATTATTCAATAATAATATAACAAGTGTACGTGACTTGAACTCCTAATATGTAATTAATGATAATTTTCTAGAATCGCCTCAATGTGTTCCTGGAACTGTTAGATCAAGGAGAATTAGACAAAGTATCAGTGGATGTTGACAAGTCCGAAAAGTTGATAAAACTTCTAGATACTGTGGTCATCAAGCTGGAAGGAGGTACTGAGGAAGACCTTAAAGCGTTAGATGAACCGCCGCCACAAGAAACTAATAATACTACTAGTGAAAAGACAGGTAGGCACAGCATTACCATGCACATTGTACATTGATAGTTATGTCTTTACCTGTCCCTCATTTATATATAACTATATGTTTTAGATAAAGGTGACTCCGACAAACCAGTGGTTATAGATGTTGACGCTGTAAAAGTAAAAGAGGAAAAGGAAGATGAAGAAAATAAAGAAAAGGTAATTGTCCATCATTTGTTCTTAATTTTTGTTTTTCATTGTTTGCTATACATTTCTACACGCCTTCTGTAATTGAATCTTATAGCCTCTATTTACTGTAGTTGTATTCCGCAGCTTTTCCCGCGTGAATCAGTACATAATGTATCCTGTCTGTACTAAGTTAGAACCTAACCTAACCGTGTACCAAATTTCATTTAAATCCTTTTAGTAGTTTTTTTCATGAAAGAGTAACAAACGTCCATCGATCGTTACAAACTTTCGCTTTTATAATATTAACAGGATAATAAAACATAAGTTTTACACATATTAAATTACTATAATTAATTTGCAGACTAATATTTTTAGGTAATAAGATTGCATTGTGCATATTCCACTCCTGTAAATGCTTTTAGTTTTTAAATTTAGTTTGGATTTAAATGTTTTTAGTTTAGTTTACATTTATAGCCTAGTAATTACACAAGCATTATTGCAATAATTTGTTAACAATTGTAATATATAACAATAATATTATTCATAATTGACACAACACGAATTTGATTGAAATTTTAGGACAAGCCTGATTCAAGTCCGAAGCCTACTGCTCCGCTGACGATGGAGATTGATCCACAGTTGCGCCAGTTACAAGAGCAGGCCAAATTATTCTCCCGCTTTAATTCTGTAACAGGCGAACCTGAGCCTGAACCTCAAGAAAAAGAGCCACGTAAGTATTTAATATTTACTATAGAAGGTCACAAATCGCCTGAAATTTCCTTAAAGATATTAGAATAATGAAAAACAAATATTATTTGCATTATCTAAAAAATTTCAAAGTATCTCAGATGAGAGCAGCTCTTGTTCCCCTGTGTAATATAATAAAATATTATTACTGCTGTTTAATTTTAGCGCCTCCTGGATCATCATCAAGCTCGTCATCATCAAGCTCCTCATCGTCCAGTTCTGAAGACGAGGATGAATCTAAAATTCGCCGCAAATCCAAATCTAAATCGAAAACACCAGACAAGTCTCCAAAGCAAAAAGACAAGTCTAAGTCACCAAGTGTGGAAAAAGATTTAGAACCCACTGAAAATGACAAAGATAAAGAGAAAAATGGGGACGAAAAGTCAGAAACCGCAAATGAACCTGCAGCTGAGAAGAAGGAAACCAGGGCTCTGCATAAAACTACTTCGATATTTTTGAGAAACTTGGCTCCTACTATAACTAAGGCAGAAGTAGAGGCTGTAAGTGTAGTTGTGAAACATCATCAAAGTATATAAATTTTCTAAATAAATTTAACAATATGTATCATGTTTGTATTTATTCAGATGTGCAAGCGTTATGGTGGCTTCTTGCGTGTGGCCTTAGCTGATCCGCTTCCTGAACGCCGCTGGTTCCGACGTGGTTGGGTAACTTTCCGACGCGAAGTCAATATTAAAGATATATGCTGGAACCTCAATAATATACGGGTAAGTACTATTTAACAGGTTTCTATTTCCATAATATTATTTGAGGTTATAAATGGTTTAAATTTTAATATTTATATAATTGTATTTTATCAAAAAAGTAGATGGACTTCAATTGTAGCAAAACCAGTTATTTTGATTTCTAAATTAAACTACTGAACTGTTTAACTGTGATACTTGAGTGTATTTCGCAATAAGCTTATATCTTTTTGTTTAAATCTTAACTAGTTCTAAAATCGTAGCTCCCATTCTTTTAATTATTTATTTATTCATTAAAATAATTATAATATAATAAATACCAAACCCTAGTGCTTACATACAAATATATTTGACAGGCTACTACTAAAACATCAATGAAGATTATATTATTATTTTATACCAGTACTGCGCGAGTTAAGGGAGTGTACTGAAGTAGGTTCGTTCGGACTGAATTAGAACCGTCCTTATTATTTTGTAGCTACGCGAGTGTGAGTTAGGCGCGATCGTGAACCGCGACCTTCAGCGTCGTATCCGTGCGGTGTCGGGCGTGACGCTCGAGCGCGCCGTGCTGCGGGCCGACGCTCGTCTCGCTGCCCGCCTCGCACACTCGCTCGACACGCGCTCCCGTCTCTGGGGAGATAGCGAGACCAATGGCGACTCCACGCAACACTCGGAGGTGAGCATCCCTTGCGCAACACAAAATCATTCGACAATGAATGGCGTGAATTTACTGGGTACAGAGGAATAACACCTGAGTCTTCAGGAATGGCAACGCATGGGGGGTGTCATGGGCGAAACAGTATACTCTGTTATGTCCATGGTACTGCTCATGTCTATAGGTGACGGGTACCACTTTCCATCAGGTGGGCCGTCAGCTTGTTTGCCATTCTAAATTGTATAAAAAAAAATGAGCCCTATGGCGATGCAATACTCAGAAGTTTACAATCATCAATACCTCTCATGCTTCATCCACACTTTGATTGTTTATCACAATTATTTTTACACATTTCATCATATTTCAGAACTTCAGCTTAAACTCGAAAAACCCAGTACTTCACAAAATAACGGAACACTTGATTGAGGAAGCATCTACCGAAGAGGAAGAATTATTGGGCCTCGAGGCGTCATCGGAGTCGTCAACTCAAGATCAAATGGACCCTGAGCTGGTGCGCGTGTTAGACCGCCTCGTATTGTACCTACGCATCGTGCACTCAGTGGACTATTACAACCACTGTGAATACCCGTATGAAGATGAAATGCCCAATCGTTGTGGTATCATGCACGCTCGCTCAGGTCCACCTGCTAATAAGGTAGTAATAAATTTACAACAAATTTGTCAAATAAATAATAAAAAAAAAATAGGTTGAGCTTTTGTTAGCTGTTAAAGTAATATGCTTTATAATTGAACCATATTATAATAATCATTGATTATTTAGCAATTATTGTCACTATTAATATTGCTTACAATAATTCGTAACTTTTTTTAGGCAACTTAGAATGTCAAACACGCTGACGGTCCACCTGATGGAAAATGGATGGTAATCGTCACATATAGATATGAGCAGTACCATGAAAATAACAAAGTACGCTGTTTCTCCCATTATACCCCCATGCGTTGCCATTCCTGAGGACTCGGGTGTTATTCCTTTGTACCCTGTAAATTCACTGCTATATTACACTCTCCAAACCGAAACACAGCCTTGCAAATACAACCGCTGCATGGTAACAGAAATGGAATAGAGGTGCTCAAGAAAATGACTTGTACAAAATCTCCCTCTGATAACTAGCTTTTTTTAATAAAACAAATTAATATTTTAGAAGATATATCATGAAATTCCGAACACGAAAAACAGAAGATATGTCATTTCACACTGTCTTATTGTAATTTTTATTTCCATAGCCCACGCAACAAGAGATCCAAGATTATATCAAAACATTTGAAGGAAAAATGTCTGCATTTTTGCAAGATGTTAAGCCTCTTTCTGATGAAGAATTACAAAAGCTTGGAATTAAGGTAAATCATTGTTAAAGTATATTGTTTAACGAAATAAACAATTAATGGAATAAAGCAAATGTAAAAAAAGAGTGCATAAATTTAAATATCAGGGGCATACTACATTAAATATCCAATTGATGTCAAAAGGGAGCATAGAGCATTGGTTAGTGTAATATGTTGGGCCACAAAATTGCTCATTGTAGTGAACAAATAAAAATCACGTCATAACTGCCGAAAATTCTACACGAGCAGCCTGTAGGTCAACTACATACATGCCTCAGTGCCCTATGCATCCAGTATAATAACAGTTTCAGAATGCTGTTGTCGCTACCTTGCTTTTGTAGCGCGTCTAGCATGTTTTCTCAATCTTATAAAGACGATTACTATACTACAAGATGAAAGAGAACTGCATCATTACTATTCAAAATGAGGACAAACACCAACAGCATTCTGAATGAAATAAACAAAAGTATGAGACGCCTATAATGAAATATTTCATTCGGATGCAACATTAGCATGAAATGGTTTAAGTTGTATGTTTACGTTTGACTAACTAGTTTGTAAGGAAATTGTTATTAACAAAATAGATCAAATCTTAGTCTGAAATTAATTCTGTGGTTTTCTTTTATTTAGGATCCTGATGCTGAAGTAGAGAAATTCATACAAGCCAATTCTCAAGAACTGTCTAAAGATAAATGGTTGTGTCCACTCAGCGGCAAGAAGTTCAAAGGGCCCGATTTCATTAGAAAACATATTTTTAATAAGCATGCAGAAAAGGTACGATTATTTTTTTAATAATTTATTATGTAATTATTATTGGTCGTTTCTGTATTTCTATATAAATAACTCATGAGGTTTGTTATATACAAACATCGTGATTTATATTAGAATAGGATTGGACTTGATTTAGAAAATGCGTTAAGTTCGATGTGCGCATAATAAGATATAGATGAATCCGAAATCACTACTATCCTGTCAAATATTACCAGTGCTACCAAAGAAACTAAATGTTTTTTATAATCAAATATGGTTAATATAATGCGAATATACATAGCTGTCAAGATAATATAGTTTAGCAAATGTATATATGAGGCTTAATTTTTTTTATTGTTTTTAGAATATATTTAGAAATGTTTAGTTTCACTTGACAGAACATGGCCAAAGTATGCTAATTTGATTAAGGCAGCACTTTACAATTGACCATATCATGTATTTTAATTGCATATACGTTTTGTTAAGTATACTTAAATAAATGCTAATTATTTTTATTTCACCTATATATTTAACAAAAATAAAGACACTTTATGAAGTTGAGTGTACCTACGAGACAATAATTAGTAAGTATTGCGTACAGGTAGATGAGGTGAGGCGCGAGGTGGCATACTTCAACGCGTACGTTCGCGACGTACGGCGGCCGCAGCAGCCCGAGCCGACCGCGCGGCAGGCGCCGCCCGCCGCACACGCCCCGCACGCGCCGCCACCCGCACCGTCAGTAACTCTTTTATATAATATAATATTATATATATATATATATATATATATATATATATATATATATATATATATATATATATATATATATATATATATATATATACAACTTAGAATGGCAAACAAGCTGACGGCTCACCTGATGAAAAGTGATAATCGTCGCCTATAGACATGAGCAGTACCATGGACATAACAGAGTATACTGTTTCCATGATACCCCCCCATGCGTTGTCATTCCTGAGGACTCTGGTGTTATTTCTCTGTACCCAGTAAATTCACGCTATATCCCACCCTTCAAACCGAAACACAGTCATGCAAACACAACTGCTTCACGGTTGAAACACAAATGGGACAGAGGTACCCAAGCAATCGACTTTTGTATAAAGTCTCCCTTTGGTAATAGCTGCTAGCAACTATGGCAAGCGATTCACGCAGTGTATCTTCAGTCGCCGATCATCTACGATGAAGTGCCAGTACCTAATCAAATTGCATTGCTCGCTGTGTACATTTTAATTGTAATGTAAAAACTTTTGACGTTAACTCATACGAAATTATAATTTTAAAATGTTTGCCAGCAGATACGGCGGCGGGGCGGGCGTTGGGCCGCCGGCTGCGAGGTGGGGGTGGGGCGGCTGGGCACCCGCGCCTCCAGCACCTTACGCCCCACGGCACCCGCGCTTCTCACGACCCAGGTAAATGCACGCTACATTACAATCACACATTTTAACAGCTATCCCCAATTATCAGCTTTTGTAGAAAATTGGCCAAATGAATCTGTCTGTAGATACTGGTAGTATACTATGTAAAAAAATTTTTACTTCTCGGTAGTTCAATCTGGTGCAGTTCTAATCTACACCTCTCAAAAAATGTTTCCCAATACATTGCAAACTGGACATTGTAGTTGCCATTGATGTTGTATCTATCGATAAATTCATATGCTACTTGTTTAGAGCTTAGTGCCGACTCGTGACGATCTGTGCCTTTCCAATTTGTGTTAGTGACATCAGTATTGCGCCAACCTGAAATTCGGAGAATATTTTTTCTTGATTGAATTACTAGAATGAACTTCGGTTTAGAAAGCCTGACAGCTACTTGGAATTTTGCAAGCTTCGATAAGAGATCCTGATAATACAAGGACTTCTTCTCTTTCATTACAGGTATTTTGTTTAATAAACAGTGACTTTTCAAAATATCTGACTCTTGGAGGCTACTGTAAATGTCTATTCCATAAGTCTGCAACTGGCAGGGTCATTCATTCTTTATTATATAGTAGTTTGGCTGTCTTATAACTAAGATGTGACTTGATGTGGAATGGGTTATTATAGTTTTCTTTCTAAAGTTCTGACAGTAGCTATTTTCCTTTCATATTCTTAACTGTAACACCGTTGAATATATTGCAATTGATTGTTATTCGTTATAGTGATATATGCGTCTCCGATGTCTTCTATAATGATCGTATCTGCCGCTCTGATAATACTTATATATTCTGTTTTGCATTAAAAAAATAAATCATTCAGTAAACGTGTAAAAAGTGAGACATTCCATTTAAGTAGCAAATAGAATTGGCTTATTTTTGTTTTTTTTTTTTTTCATCAAATATCTGTTTATAGTTTGGTTTTTACTTCGTATATATTATAGTGTCTGCTTAAATAATGGAGCGCAACACGAAACATATCTTTATCGATGTCACTAATGACACTTACCGTCACGTGCCGTCACTGACAAATGTAGTGCGCCTAAAATTCTCATATTGAGAAAAGCTAGTATTGTCGTTTTTATTGCTATAATGTATACTTATTATACTTTCTTTACAAAGCCAACGCATCACTCAAACATTCCATTTGTAAGACGAAGTTAATACATATTCAGATATGTAACTTCCCTATTAGGAAGTATACACATATAGCTAACAGATAAAGCTTTGCTTGAAGCTCATAAACCGCTTAAGTATTTGAAAGGCGCGACATTCACCAACCTTGTGAGTCATAGTATTAGCTCACTGTCCCTTAACAATGATATTACGTATTTCCACACTAGCTTGACTCAATATAGAATATTGAAATTTATTAAAACGATGCCACTCCCTTCTTTGATATGTTAAAAGTTCAATGCATTGTCGGAAATTTAAAAAAATGTATAAAAGTAATATAAAAAATAGTATAACTGAAAATTTCCCTGTAATATTTTGGGACTGGCATCTTATTATTTTTACCGTAATTTTAGTAATTTCACATTACCACTACACACATAACACGGCAAATTTGTTTTCGTTTCAGTGTTTTAGTACTTAATTTTCTTAATTTATTTTAGTTATGTTTGTTGCTTAAAATTATATTATTAAAACAAAATTAAAATTGTATGTATATAAAAAAACATATTGTACTATATTTTTTATATTTTTTTTAATAACCTTTATACAAAAATGTATATATACATTTCCAACAAATTTTCCTAAGGCCAGACTATGAATATGTCACATCGATACAATTGAAAATTTTCTGATCCGAAAAGTCATTATTAGTATTGTATGTATATATTGGACTAGTGTATTGATTATAATCAAATAAAATTTTGAATGCTACACTATAATATTCTACGTTCGTATGCCTCATTATAGCCAATCCTTACAACTGTACTGCTCAAATTCAGCAGTTTGTTATTAATATTTTTAAAATATTTTACAATAGATTACTAAGAAACTATGCTTGTCAAGAACTCGTGACAAATTTATATCGTTTAATGTACTGACACTAAATATTAGTTTTTAGCACTGTTTTCGTCTGTGTGGCCACTGAATATATTAGTGATTCATCTGAAATAATTAATTATTTATGACAATTAATTGAGCAATGGAGACACCAGGCGGTAACAAATAAGCTCGCTTTCACGTTTCACGTCAATATTTAACAAAAATATAACACAAACATTTGTTGTTTCCTGAGTCAGAGCGGCGCGGTTCTAATAAATGACGACCTTTAAGTATGACTTACACGAACGCCATACGTATATAAGTGCACCGAAGCATGTTTTACAATGCGGTAAAGGAAATCAAAGTATCTTCATATTAAAGTTCGCATTCGTTCCGAGGACAGCACGCGTTGCCAAATTGCATTCCACAGAATATCCGTGTAGCTTCATGAAATATTAAATTTAATAACTGTGAAAACACTAAAATGGAACAAAGTGCATGTGTTTTTAGTATAAAAATTTAAATATTATATTTCTTTTTACCATGTAATAAATCATCATCATCATCATCATTTTACCATAAGTTTTACCATTAGGATAAAATCATATAACATATGTTAAAATCCTTCCCTCTTCGATTTTGGCCTATTGCCTTTTCCCAATTAATCAATTATTTTTCTTTTAACCTACTGTATCATTTATGACTAAGTATAAATATGGCTTAACTATGATTACGGCCGTTCATAGTTAACGATGGCCTTCTTTAATTAGAGCTATACATAAAGAATTAGTTAATTCCGTGGTTAGAAATATAAAATTCACATTATCGCTTTGTTTTATTAAAGAATCTGTAAATAAATTAAACCCATTAAACAAACTCTTTGCATTCATTCCTTAGTTTGAATTAAAGAATCAATAATCTGTACTATGAAAAATTATTGCGACAAAAAAACTAAAATCAATTTTTTTAAGTTCTTTACATTTTTATTTGCTCTTAATATATTTATATGCTATTTAATATTTTATAATATAATTACTATTAATATATTTCATTTATACATAGCATGCATTTGGAGATGAAGTACGAGTCTTAAGAATGAATATTTCTTCAAATATTTTAAGCTTTTTAAGCTAGCTTTGAGCATTTCTATTGGATCACGCAAATGTCTACGCAGTTATATATTTAAATAGGTGCTGCAACTACACCTACCTTGCAAGCTGATTTTTAGCTCTATCGAACACTTCCTCTGGTACACAAAATTTATACTTATGTCGAAATAATTTTAGGTGACTAATCGATTTAGTGGAAAGTCAAAATAATAACTTTATTTTCGTAATAATTTAGTTGCATGCATCAATTTAACTGACGACTCTACGACTGAGAGTGACACACTACACTGTCTGCCGTTTCGATTAGATATTAGATTTTTTTTTTCAATGAATTTTCTGAGATGAAAGAAATAATTTGCAGGGAGAATGTGGATCGCTCGCGGCCTATTATTGCATACAACGATCTTGACTTCCCGGACAGTGGTGACATATTCTAAATGGCGTACCGCCATGACCATGATATTATGTGCAGGAACAAAATGTATAATTTGTACATTCCACTTTTTTATAAAACAGTAACTTCTTATCACTTTTATCTTTCATAATTTTATAACATAGTATAAACACGAGCCATTGAAACCTTTGTATTGAATAAAATGTATTGTATCTAAGCCTTTCTGTTTGTAACTTTAGACACGTATTAATTTATAATTCATAAAATAATATTATTTTTTGTAATTTGCCAGATTAGTGAGATCAACTGTGCATTATGCTACTATTACTGTATTAATATTGCATTTCTAATGTATGTTTAATGATAATCATGTTGTTCTAATATACGAATATTTTTTAAATATATTTTTAAACACTATGAGAAGTTACAATAAACTTTTTATAAATGTATCGTATTAAGTCAGTTGTTTTTTTATTTCTTTAAACCTGAATACCTTATATGACACGGCAACTCCCGGGAAGCTGAGATTCCTTGCAACCTATCAAAACTTATCTAGTTGTGCATAAGTAGTGTTTGTTGCGAGTTTTGTGTGTGGACATAGGAGAGTCGCTACTAACAAAAGATATTAATTGTTAAAGGGGCGGTGGCGCAGATTTCCGCCCGGTCATACACTACCGCGACCTGGACGCGCCGCGCGAACCTGACGAGTTCGTATAACGTGGAAACTTGCGTGGACGACTTGCCAAAGGACCCCGTAGAATTCTAAGCACGTAGTGTAGTATAAAACAAGACAACTCGTAACATCAGACTATTTGAATTTGTCTTGTCACAATGTGTACTTTTAGAAATATATCAATATTCTATTGATAATTGTTTAATTCACTGATTTCTATTTAATTCTATTAATCGCATAAAATTATTTATGTATCAATACTATGAAGCAAAATTTGTGTGTTTGTAAGTATCAAGGGAAAACTTTATTGACCTACCGAACCAGTTCTATTTTTTTTTTTTTGTAATAGAAAGCTAATTGAAAAATATTAGCAATAGGAACGGGGAATAAAATGCTTACTCGTACCAGTTTACGATAAATACAGTAATCCGTAATATAGGGGATAACGCTGTAGATTCGTTCCGCGTTATAGGAAAACGCGTCGTAGGAGTGTTCTCGTATAACGCGCTTGTACGACCCCGTATAACGCGTTATGTATAAATTCACGATTAACTTTTCTCGTTAAAAAGAGTTTAAATCGAATATTAAGAAAAAACTATGTTATAAACGAAATAAGTGTGTTTTATTAGTTCAAACTAAAACCGTTTTAAAAAACTTTTGCATATGTAACTAAAAAGCAGTTAATTTTAAATAAATTAACACTTTTATTACATCTTTATTCGCTTTCGGGGCTATCTGAAAAATGGTTCCACCGACATCTTTTTTTTAATAAATTGTTCAATCCCCGCGTTATATGGGGAAATACCCATGTTAAACGAGAGATTGAAATCGCGTAATATGAAAACATTATAAGAGTACCATGTTATAGTGAGGGGGGGGGGGAATACTGTTATTGGAATAAAATTATAAAAAGTGAAACTTGCGTAATATTCGATATAACATAAAAATACTACGTAGGTCACGTGCTTCATAGAAGAATAATTTATTGTCAAAAAATATAGTACTACAGTATAAAATACAGCATTCAATTGATGAACGCGATTACCATCGGCCTTACTAACATTTATGCATGGTCGTCAGCATAATATACGACACTATAAGAAAACAGTAAGTACAATACTAATGTGTAAAATAAAGTAAAAAATACAGAAAACTCCAATTAAAACCAAGCCACATGGCTGTCTTCCCCTAAAAAAGAAAGACCATAAGAGTAAATATTTCAGTATACTCGTGTATGTCAGTATATTCTTTATACTCGTGGGTATAAGAATAGATATAGATTTATTAGAAGGTACCTTAATTATTTACCTACCTTAGTGATTAATTTTGTTCAAGACAATTACCTGTAATACTTATTATTCGCGTTAATTAATTAAAATGTTCATTAGACCACATCTAATGAACTAGGTTTCTTAAGCAAATTAACCATATATGTATGATAGCATACTAATGTTTTGCCTTGGTTATGAGAATAATCAAATGCATCAACAATGCAAAAGAGACACTTATAGGTCTTCAAATCTATAGGCAACGGTTACCACTCTTTATCAAATGGATTGCGTCAGTTTGCTTTTCAGACTAAATATAATAAAATATATATATATATATATATATATATATATATATATATATATATATATATATATATATATATATATATATAAAAACTTACCTATGAAACCTACCTGCATTACCATTACCTACCTTACATTTATTTAGTAGTAGTTATTTATATATGATTTCTACCATAGTAAGTACCATCCCATATAGTATGTGTATACCAAATTACATAAAGATTGATTAAATCATTAAGACACTAAGCGGTGGCAACAAATAAACAAACTCGCTATTACATTTATAATAAAAAATTTTAAGAATTATTAGTTACAAATTTTAGGATAGTATTTTTTGCTTGCTTACATAGAAAGGCAGGAAGAAGATTGGAAATAAACTCTACTTGGAGAATGAAGGGAGAGTATCTAAATGTAATAAGGAGTAATAATGAGCCTAAGCCGAGAATTGAAACTAACAAAACAAACTAATAAATGGAGAACATAGTACGTACTTATATCATGTCTAGATGACGGTTACACTTCCTATCAGATGGGCCGTCAACTTATTTATCATTGTAAATTGGTTCTAAACCATTTTTTGTATGCATTTCATTGTCTTCATATGTGTACGTTTGCGAAAAGATAGGTACACCAAATTACCGCATTAAATAATATTTTATAATTAGAATATCTACTGAGTACGCGTCATGAATTGCAGTATTATTATTTTATACTCGTATTGGAGCCTAAGGTTAATGAAGAATTAACCTTTTTAATCGTTATATACAGAATGTAATTTTTACCCTATGGGCATAGTATAATATAAATAAATTTTTAAAGTATGTTTACTCAATATCCTATTCATTTTTAGGGTTCTTTACCATAAAGCTACAAAAGAACTCGTGATGCAAATTCGTGCGTCTGTCATAGCGCTATATCCCGGCAACTACTAATGCTATCACACATTGATGCATGCACATATATTGCATTGGAAATAACAGAAAAAATATTTTTATTTTCTTATTATTAATATTGATTCTTAATATTAATATAATTATATTAAAAAATATTATTTTTATTTTTTAATATATATTTAATGAGTAAAAAGAGGATGAGTACGTAAAGTACTTATAAGTTGAAGTAAAATACGCAATAAATATTAACCGTGTTGTCGGTAAATTGGTAAAATAAAATAGGGCAATCTCAATGAAAACTGATAAAGATGTGTTTATATAAGGCGGTATAGTGAAGGCCTTAAGTTGTATGTAACCTTGCGTTGGACCTATGGCCCACATAGATGTCATAATAATCACTTACCATTAAGTGGCTATGGAGTCAGTATGTAATACCAGTACAGAAAAATATACTACCCGGATTTAAGTAGATATCATTTGACATAATCAAATCAATTTAAATTTCCGATTAACTCTTCGATGATAGGAAACATCGATAACAAATCATAGTATTACCCCATCAAAGAATATAGTCGTAATCATGTAGGTACATTATTGTAATCAAAATTTTATTATAATACTGTATATATATCCGACATTCATAATTATATATATGCTCAACTTAAAACATGAAAATATGTATAAAATACATTACTTAATGACACGACCAGTTCAAAATTACCCAATGATTTGCATATTTTAATACCTATCAAATATCATTACGAATAGGAATCGATATGCCCGCTAGCTGTTAGCTGATAAGCCACTTACACTTAACATGTTAACCGCAAAACGAGGATACTCGACTCGAATCCTCCTTTCTAATAGCGTATATAAATAATTTTTATTTTTAGATTCTTCCTTGAATTCTTTGAATTTAATATGAAATGTGAAAACCAGCGAGGTATTTTTTACATCTATTAAAATACTATTCAATATCCACAGCTTCACTTACGCCAACCTGTGATCTCGCGTTTTTTAAAAAAAGTCCTTAGAGCTTTTTCACGCTAAATCTATATGATTCCCTCAAAATAGGTTAGGCTGTACGTGAGATGTCTATCAGTTAGTGATTTTTTTTTTATGAACAAAGGTAGAATGGAACATTGTTATGGTAAAAATGGAATGACAACTTCGCCTGCGCTAACGGAATACGCTGGCAGGGCACCTGTGAAGAGTAATAGAGTAGCCCAGTAGCCCATCGTGACGAATTTATTAAGAATTAACCACTATGGTTTCAAGGAGGGACCATGTGGAGGTCGACCTGGTTGCGTATATAATCCTTCCCTGCCTGGTAGAATGGAAGTTTTTTTTTAATGAATGGTAATGAAATGGTAATCGCGCCTACGCTTACGATGTATACAATGGCGGAGCACTAGTAAGGGATGATAGGTGAAAATAAAAAGGCAGGTCAGTTAGCCCATCGTGATGAATACACCTGGAATTCAACACGAGGGTTTTCAAGGGAGGCCATGTAGAGGTCGACCTGTCAGGGTATATTGATAACAATGGGACTGGTAGTCCGCATTACTAACAATCCCTTTCCCTGATAGAATAGAACTTGGCGGGTGTGACAACACCCACCTGGCGCCTATTCTAACGATGTATAACAACAAGGCACCAACGAAGGGTGAAATGATGGGGATAGTGCTGACACCGTCTTCATCATGATTATAATGGTATCCGGGGCTAAACTAAGCATGGTTTGCTAGCAATGAGGACTATCGATTTATTATTAACAATCCTTTTCTCATCGGTTAGTGTAAGAGATACATAATGTTTGGCTATAGTTACTTTACATTTTTGATCAATAAAGGAATTGATGATAGAAAATGACAAAATTCTCTATAGTAATGAACTACGTCATGAATAGCACAGAATACATGAAGTTTTACTTATAGAATTTCTCGTTCGTTGCCATTCCTGTGACAAACTATATCAATATAAGCCTCTTGAGTAAATTATTTAAATATTCTATCAGATTTTGTTTGACAGTGTATTATTTGATTCCGCTACCTACTTCAGCAGTCAACCTAGATCAGTAGCGAAGGCATAACAACCATAAAAACTCTTTTTCTCGTTTATTATATTAGGTAGGATTAATATTAAATATGTAAAATATAGAGTCAATGTGATTCTGCAAATTTAAATGGTAACTACGCTATATAAGAACAAGGCGAACTCTTAAGACCTTGACCTCTGTATTACCATTTGTCATACATAAGCTGCATTTTATATTGGGTATTCTTCGGTACATCGTTTTTTGTTGCATTAACTTGTATAATTGTTTTGTTTAATGTTGTATGTAAATGCCTATTATAATACATTTTAATATCTTCACAAAATTAATACCAGACTAACAAGAATAAGCCCTACTGATTACAAAGTGGATTGTCAAAATCAATTCAGAATTGACGAATGTAACATAAAACATAAAAAAAAATTATAAAGAGATTCTCTCCTCCTCCTTTTGGAAGATATTTAAAAATTGTTTTCGTATTTCCTATTTATTATAATTGGTGAAAGTATAATTTTTCAAAACTTTATACTAATATATTTCACATTGTTACCTATCAATATGACTTTCTATTATACCTTGTATATGTAAAACTGATTGTACATACTATACAATCTCTTAGAAATATAAAACGGAATGTGTGAAGAGAATTTATTATGAGCATGTGTGAAGCAGCGTCACCCGGATGTCGACATGGGAATAATACGCACGCCAGCGGTTGCGGTATCACGACACGCCTTCACGAACTGTCATTGGTGTTCCACCTCTTGGCATGATATATGCCACCCAATTACAGATTTAAAATTATACTTAGTATTGATAGTGAAAATTAGATAAAGTAATTAAGGATATTATATTAAGTGTGCAGCTTGGAAAAGGACAAAAAGATACAAGTTCCAATCCTTACGAAAGATTAATTGCATATAAAAATAAAATAAGACTATTTAAATATTGTTCATGTCTATAGACGGTAGTAACTTACATGATAATTAAGTTGATAGTCCTCCTAATGGAAAGTTATCACTTTCCATCAGGTGGTTAATTTGTCATCCTAAACATAATAAAAAAAATAGTACCTACTTATATCATTCTATCTAAAGTTTCCTAATCGATCTGTCAAATTTAATCACATCGATTTGGATCTATTCATTATCAACCAACTCAGAAAGATTCTTCTTTTGGAGTACAAAGTCTACTAATGGACCTTCTGGTTCTCTATCAGTTAACTCCGTAAGTCTGTCAGTTGTAAACCGATTTGAAAAATATTTTTTTATCTGAAAGGATATACATACATACTGGCCAAACAGAAATTTTATTACAATCAGTTTATTAGTTTAATTCTTTAATTATCTGGTTAAATTGAATTCCTCCAATTAGAGTCTTTTTTTTGTGATAAAAAAGATTGGCAATCAATTTATTTATTTCTCCGGAGAAGCTAAGTCCGTGGGGAAAAACGTTGATCATACATGTCACGCTATGACTTGACTATCATCAAAAAGAATTCAGAAAACATCGAGATTCTAGAGATCGAACTTTGATTAAACTGAAATTAAATTTATCAATGCGATTTTCACGGTCTATTTACAATAAAACTACACAGCAGGTTCATTAAAATAATGTATCGTACTCGTACGAACACAGTAATGTGAATTACATTGCATCTACTTAACACCAAATTAAGCGGTCAAAAAAGGATCAAAATAAAATTGGACTCCTCATTTTTTTTTACAACCATTTGTAACAGGATGTAAATATAAGGATAACAAGTTTCATAAATGCAGGCAGAGGATTTATAATACTTAAGTAATAATCAAAGTATGAATTTTTACAATTTATTTCTTGCATATTACTTGATATTTTTTTAGATTTTAGTATCGTTTTTTATTATGTTTTTTAAATGAAAGAACCCAATATTCTGGGGGTCTAAATTTATCTTTATCCAAATCAATGTTGTTATGACACAACAGTTACTGAACTTTGTTACTTTGTTGTAGCTCTTATTAATCTATTAACTTATCTTGCGTCATAATTCACGTGTGTAGTTTCCTCGGTTTCTGTGTATTTTAAGAAATTGTTTAGTTGGCTTTTTAGTAACCAAAAACAATACATGATATACTTTTCGACGTAGTGTCTATGCATATACAACATTAGCTTTATGTAGTACCCAAGTATTGGCGTCACGTTGTGCTACGAATGACAGCAGCGTAGAAACTAATAATAATTGGGATATGATGGCGTTGGTAATGCAGACGTTCATAGGCTACGATAACCGCATACCATCAGGTGGGCCGTATGCTTGCTTGCTACCTCAGTGGTATATAAAAAATCTGGATATGTACAATAATTACGCTTAAACGGCTAAACGAATTTGAATCATCATCATATCAGCCTTTAACTGTCCAATGCTGAACATAGCCTCCCCCTTGGGGAGTTTTACCAGTAGTACCGCTTGGCAGGCGGATTGGCAATCGCAGTTATGCTTTGGAAATGTTTTAAGAAGGACGCTGCTGCCCATCCCTCGCCCTTCATTAGTCGCCTCTTATGACACCAACGCGAAAGAATGGGGTGGCCTATTCTATGCTGGGACCACACGGATTACGACTTTTAATGAAAAGTATGAATCTATACCTTTCATTCGAACTCGTTTAGCCGTTTAAGCATGATTGAATAATAAATTACCAAAATTTTAATTGTATATATTTTAATATAATTGTATGACGTGAAATCATAGCGTGACATGTATGATCAACGTTTTTCCCCACGGACTTAGCTTCTCCGGAGAAATAATTAGTACGTAATTTTCGAGAGTACATCATACGTACATTTAACTCGATTAAATATTCATCGAGGTAGGTATAACTGCTCAAATAAATACGGGAAACAACACAGCCTACGCGAGCACAACCTCAGATTCGCAGTAACCGCCAACAGGTTTTTTGTTATATTACAGTCAAGTGTCTATTTGTGTATCGCTTTATAAAGGCCTCAGATTGCAGAACAACAATATTTTAGTTCGGGAGCTTCGCTAAGATGGAGCTCGTATGTGCTATAGTGTTGACCTTTGTAACTGCAGTGAGTTGTGTCCCACATGGATACGGTGCTATTGGGGGTGCAGGCGCATCAGCTAAAGGTTGGTTCTACATCGACTATATCATATTTAATCTCATGTAAACAGTACCTATTTTATTACTTATGATTTCGTTAGATTTTCATTTAGCTTATCACTTGTTTAGCAAATCTCGCAAATATAAACAACTTACGAACCAGTACTTACCGGTATTAGATTTGGCTAAAATTTTGTACATATTATTTATTTATTTTAGTTGTTTATGATAATTTTCTTTAATTACATTTTATTAATTAGGGTGTTACCGAGTATTTTGGTATTAATTGTTTTGATTAAACTCGTTTCTTCGAACTTAAATGTGAATTAATAAAGTACAATGATTTTATTTATTTCCTATTATGTTATTGAAATTTACATTTTATAATGTTGTTAAATATTGAAATGTTCTTTAAGTGATAAACACTTTGAATAGAAAGGTAATGTAATGTAGCAAGACGGAAGGATTCAAAACTTATTAAAATCAATGAGTTATCATATTAACAGTGTTGCAAATATCCCTAATACGATAATAAAATTTGACACGAACTAGAGGAAGAAGTTTATTGGGTGCTTCCTAAATAAATCACAATCACTACAATCTACTTACAATAAGTATACTTAACAACACGAGAGTAAACGTCAGTTGCAAAAAATCAGCCCAAAATAGTCTAACATATTACGTAACATACAAAAATATTTCTTTATCTTGCTCTTATGTAATTTTTAGTAATTAATTGTTCATTTTGTTTGTGTACATATTGTTAATATTAATAATTTATATCATTCTTTGAAGAGAACAATAAAGAATTTTCCATCATTCATTTCTTATAGCGTTTAGATTAGCTTAGATAGATAAAAGTTTAGTTGTACCTACATTTTTTTTAAAATGGAATGGTTACCCCGCCTAAGCCATCGGTATATGCTAGCGAATCACCAGTAAAGGATAATAGGTGAGGATTAAAGCTAGTTAGTTAGCCCATTGTGTCGATTTTGTCCAGATTAACCACGATGGTCTCCGAAGGAAACCGCGTGGAGGTTGACCTGACAGGGTATATTGCTAGCAATAGCCATCACTGACAATCTTTTTCTCTCTTTAGTTGTACATATTAGGTTATTTAGTTGTACATATTAGGTTACTATTTAAGTTTTTCATTTACAAAATGACCTTAATAAATTAATTTTTAATAATTTTCAGCGGAAGCAAATGCCGCTGCAGGTACCTTCAGTGGTCTGGGCGGTTTACCACTCAGCATTCCAAATGGAGCAGGGTTTTCTGGAAGTTTTTCAAAATCCTCTTCATCTAGCTTTGCTTTATCAAGTGCTAGTTCCAGTTCTGGTTCGTTTAGCTTCACTGGATCTGGTGCAGGCAATATAGGTACAGCGGGATCAAATAATTTGGGAACATCTACTAACGGAGGTTGTACAACAGGAGGATGTAAATATGGTTCAGTTGGAGTTCCCAACAATTCTCAGTTATACAATGTAGCTAACGCTGGTGCTGCGGCTCAATCAGGTGCTGTAGTAGGAGACACAGATTATTCCAAGAATGGAAATCAGCAACCTTGTGCAGGTGACTGTGTTAACCTTAAACCACCGAGTTGTAAAGGATTTGGATGTAACGATTTATCTAGTTCTTCCAATAATTGTGCTTCAGGGCAATGTGGTACCAATTTACCTTTGGATAATTCACCTCATAAAAATTTAGAAATGGAAAGTATTCATAATAACAATAATGCTAATTGTGCAAATGGGAAATGTGGAACTAATATTCAAATCGCAAGTTCTTCTGAATCTGGATTCAATAATAATAAATGTACCTCTGGAAAATGTACTCCGACATCACAGACAAGCATACCACCAAGTAAGCCCTTATTAGAAACGGAAGCACCATCTGGTAACGATGAGTCTGATGATATATCAGTCGGCACTACAGGACCTTCGTTTCCCAAATTAAAACCAGAATCAAGTTATCAATCACCTATTTATGGCGAGACCTCTGCTCCAATGACTTTTTCGGACTCGAATCCGACATTTAATACAGACTTTAATCAAAATAAATACGCTGGCGCATCTAGCAGTGCAACATCACCTACTTATAATAAACCTGCAGATTATTTATCAACTCCTAAATTAGGCCCTGCTTGCACATCTCCTAATTGTCAGCCAGTAAATAGTAAACCTGGACAAACTTATCTAACTCCAGTAAATTCAGATACTAATAGACCCATTAACAATGCATATCCGAACAATCCTTTAGAAAACACAAATTCTCCTGCTATTTTTAACAATAACTCTCCATCAACGAATTATATTAGTCCGAAAGGTCCAACATCGTGTACTTCGGGAAATTGTGGTAATTATCCATCTAGTCAACCAACAGCATTTGGTGATTTAGAATCCCACGATCGAAAAAATTCTTTAAATCAGGGAATTCCCTCAGTTATTGCTAATAAACCTCTAGTTACTAATACACCAACATATTATCAGACTAATCCAGAAAGTTGTACATCGGGAAATTGTGACAACTATCCTGGATCACAATCTACGGGACCATATACCTCAGTTCCCAGTATTCCCGGTAATCCTGCTGTATCAACTGCAGAATATAGTTCTCCTGGTTCTAAATATCCGATAAAACCTCAAGGACTTTTCCCTAATACTGGATTGAACTGTGGATTTGGAAATTGTGGAAATTATCCTCAAAGTCCAATTACAGGAATTGGTAATACAGTTTCTACAATTCCTGCCTATTCTCAAGGAAATTCCCCCAGTAAACCACAAAATTGTGTATCGGGCAAATGTAGTTCTTATCCTTCCTCGATTTCCACAGAATACAAAATTCCAGCACACAGTCACGAAAATCCTACTGAAACTGAAAAGTGTGTCTCTGGAAACTGCAAGGTGCCATCAACACAATTATCTGACTACAGTCCTCCGGGATTTAATTATCCTACTACTAATCAAGGTATTTTCCCTAATACACCGGTGAACTGCGCAACAGGCAATTGTGGGAATGTTCCTTCTACTCAATCTACAGACTCCAATGATGCAGGATATTCTTCATTTCCTACACAAAACTGCGCATCAGGAAAATGTAGAACGTCCCCTTCCATTACAAATGAAAATTGTGGATCTGGTAATTGTGTTAATCCGTCTACACAAATTATTAATAATAATAATAAAAAACCATATTTTGAAGGAACAAATAACCCAGAAAACTTAGGACACAATAACCCAAGCTATCCTCAAAAAGGTACTTCTAATGGCTCGAAAAGTTGTGTTACAGGAAAATGTAGTAATCCTAATAACTCACAGGAATCAATTCCTGCATTTGTACCTTTACAACCTAACCAGCCACAATATAATAGTCCAAATAATAAACCAATTAATATATATGGATCTATTTCTAATAATGACGTATCTTCAAATAATGGTGCCTCGTCAACATCCCATTCTACGGGAATAACTGCTAACCTGAATGAAAAAATCCCAAATTCACAAAAAGGTCCTGTCTATACTGGTGGATTTGGAGGTCCTCCAGGACTATTAAAACCTAATAATTATGATCTCCCACCTTCAGGAGGTTTTGTACCCACATCTAAGGACAATGAAAATAAACCTGAAGCTACATCTAACAAACCAGCATCTTGTTCATCGGGAACTTGTGTTTCTCAGCCCGGTGTCGGAGCTTCAAATAATAACAATAATATTCCCGCTATTTCACCGGAAACTTCTACAACAATACAATCTTCTCAAAATGATCATGGTCACCTTTCGACTGGAATCAATACTGCTGTCACTGCTATTTCTAATGCGGTCGCTTATTCAGGTGGATTTGGTGGTCCACCAGGATTATTAAAACCTTATGATAATGGTAAAATTAGCAGTGGAAGTGTGACCAAGTCCCCACTTGGTACTAATCATATTGGACCTAATAAAGAAACACATTCTTTCCACGATAATAAAATCAATGCAGCTAACACAGGTTTTGCAGCTCAAGCTGCTTCTTTTGCTGGAGCAGCAGCAGGTGCATTTGGTAGTGGAAATTATGACAGTAGTAATCGAAACAAAGCTAATCATGGCTGTGGCGGTGGATGTGGTTCTACAGGAAGTGGTGGATATAACAGTAATTTCAATTTTGGTCTCAATAGTGGGTTATCAAAGTTTGGACTGCTTGATGACGTACATGGAGGTTTAAGCTCAGCTACCGCGGCAGCAAAAAGTGCAGCCGGTGCAGTGAGCGGTGCCAATGCAGGTGCATTTGGAAACGCTGGCAGTTTCGCTAGCAGTTCAGCTTCTGCTCAAGCCAGTTCTGGAGTTATTACTAAAGGAGGTAAAATTATTTAATAATTTATCTTTATTTATTTTTAGTATTCTGAAAATAATAACGATGCTGTTCATCAGGAGAGAAAAATAAAATAATATTGTACCATTCAAGGCATCAACACAATACATAAATAGCTATTTCATGACAGGAAAAAAAAACACGTAATCTAATGCATTAACATAAAACTCCACTGTCACTACCTATTTGATAAATTATTTTATAAATTAGTGAAATATAAGTATATTTTTTTCTCTCGTGTGTTTCCAATACTTTAACAATCTCTTTTCCGACACATGAGCTCTTTATGTAATATAACTTTTAAAATAATCTTATCATACGAACGAAGTGGCCATTGATACTTCAAATATTTACTTGTTAATTTCAAATAATATATTGTAAACCATAATTAATGCGTTTTCATGTTTATTAATAATATAACAATTAGATTTAACATTCCTATTTATACTGAAGATACCTTTTCAAAAATATATAATATATTCTTAATGAATCTGACTGACTGGATAACGATACTCTGTACCATAATATATGTAACAGGGAGTTATTTTTCACAAAAAATAAGTAGGCTATAATAATAATCACAGAAAAGCACTCGAATCTGTCATTTCTGGAATTGATGTTTTTTTTATGTGCTTGTTTGTTTCGTTCTCACGAGAAACTAAATTTTATAATTGAGTAGACATTAGCCCAACTTGAAAACTGATGTAAATGCTTGCATACTTTTACAAAGTCGTTCTAGAGAATCTTGACATTCGGTTTGATCTCTTCATTAATAACTATATTATTATAAATATTAGTTTATATGTTTATAAAAATCTAAATACAATGATATTTTTACAAATTAAGTTAGTTTTAACTACGTAATACAATAATTATTATTATAATATGAATGAAGTCCTTAGCTTGTTTCTATCTTATCATCGAGAATTGTATTCTGTGAAAAATTTAAAATTACTGCTTATTTTAACTTAATCTATCTATTATATGTAGATTTTACTTGCTTATATTATATTATATTTTTTTTTTCAATAATAATTGTCATTTTGTTTCAGGTTATGGAAGATAATAATTTTAGTAATACTACAAAAAGATATTACCCATACTGAACTGTTTTAAAATTGAACAAGACTTATTAATGTGTAATTAAGTAGAGGAAATCTATTATGTTGTGATAATATTAATAATATATTAAGTTTTGGTATTACATATCTATAATTTCAAGTAGTTATTTACAAAGGAGTGTTCCGATGATCCGCGTTAGCAGGCATGGAAAGTAATATAGAGCATATTTGATATCAGTAGCATTTATTGATGGTTGTGTGAAGGGAGTTTTTAAGGGGTGTAAATGAAATAGTGACTCCGCCTGTGCTATCGGTATATATCGGCAGGGTAACAGTGAGGGATGATAGGTGAAGATGAAACAAGTCAGTTAGCCCATTGTGACAAATTCATTTAATATCTATCGGTGTTCATCATTTTTAACTTAAAAAATTGCTCAACATATCATCGGAACGCCCCTTAAATATATTAAAAATAAATTAAATGTTACTTTTATACGTAAATTTCTTTTATTTTATACTAATAATTATTTACTATAAAAGCCATCATAAAACTCTTCATTCTGTTTCAAGTACGACAGTATATCTACCTATCCTACCTTTATATTTTTATTTTAAGAAGGAGGATTTCAATCCTTCTGTATTTATTAGGTACCGAGAGTTAAAAAAATAGTTGTAGATATATTAAACTTTATGCAGATATTGCAATTCCTGCTAAGTCAGTCATACTGTGATTGTGATATCAGTAAATGATATCACAATCTGAGTATTTAAATAAGATATAACTTAAATACTCTGATTGTAATATCATCAACTATTCTATCTTATTAGTAGATACTTAATACGTATCATCAACGACTTAAGAATATTTACTTAGGTACTCATTAATACATAAACATACCTATTACAATGATTACTCTCATTATGGTCGACCTTCTAATAACTAACATACTCGTAGGTTGCATATCCTCATCGCGCATAAATCTCAAAGCTGTCTCATACATAAGATGATACGATCATCCACTTCTATCATTGTTCACGACCTAGCTGTTTACGGATGCTGTTCAAATAAATAATTCATAACTCAAAGAGAACAATCGATTAAACTAAACGTAGGTATTAACGCAGAATATATAATAGTATACCTTACTATCTTAATATATATATATATATATATATATATATATATATATATATATATATATATATATATATATATATATTCGTATAATATTTATTCAAGTCACCATGGAATAATCAGAATCAATATTTAATGAATAGTATATATGTTTTTCTATCTAGAAAGCTTATCCTATAAGTAAAGCAACTTATTCTGTTGTCTAAATTTAGAGTAAGTATTTAAAAAACTTTATTCGCGTGGTAGTTAATGTACTTCGCAGAAGTTGTGGTAATAGGTACAACTACTTAATGATAATAATTTTGCAGAGGAACTCAGCAGAGCAGTAAGTAGATAGGTATTTTTCCTTCATTAATCATTTATTTTTACATTACAATTAGTATTATAAATTAAGCAAGATAAAAGAAAATATCTTCGAAAGCGAAATAGTAGGCATATTGTATTGCCCAGTAAAGTTCGGATTTCAAAATTTTAACTAAAATTAAAATTGTAACTAATCTAATTTTTTTTTATTGGTCAATTTTGGAATAATCTTGGTTATACCCCCATTATATTTAGAAGTTTATTGTTAGATATTGTTTCACATAATCCATAAAATTTGTAATTTGATAACCAGATATATTTAGATCCTCATAGATATTAACAAGAAAATAATATATTTTTTTTTACATTATTGCCACCAGTATTTAACTTAATAAACTGAATCGTCGTAGCCATTTTACAATAATTAAGTCAAGGTTTAAAGGACTGCTCTAAAGGTTTGAATAAAATTAATCATTGATCCATAGAAAGGAATCGCAGATACTGTTCGTAATCTATATCACAAATAATATAATAGTATACTAAACTAGCGATTGATCCGGCCTGGCTCCGCACAGGTAGACAGAATTTTCGAAAATAATATATAGCCGATGTTACTCGCTGATTATAGAGCGTTCTATACAGGGTAGGGCAAAAGAACTTTTAAATAGGGCAGAAGCTATAATTAAGTGACTTAAAAAAAGGGTAGGGTATTGGGCCTTTAAAGAAAGGCCATTGCCCTTTAATACTCCCATTAGCAACGGCCATGTTTCTATAGATAAAAGAATTATTAAAATTGGTTGAGTAGTTTTTTAAATTTCTCTATTACAAATAAAAAAACAATCAAACGTTACCAATAATAAATTAATAAATATCAGAATGCTTATTTGTAAGTTTTTTAACATTATACACAGCTTTATAAACACTACAAGATTCGGAAAGAATGCTCATATGTAAATATTATTTTATGTTAAAAAAAAAGCATTAAAAGCTTAAATAAAAATAAATATATATTAGGTGATTTGAAACGCCCATAGCAAATTAATTGCCAAATGATATTCATACATACTTTGGGAAACACATTGTGACTCATTTAACAAAAACTAACAATAGCAAGCTACAAACTGGTTTATTCAAAATGCTATACATGTTACAATCATAAGTAAATGAATATGATATGAATGAGTTACATATAGATGCGAGTGGCGCGAGTTAATGGAAAATTGTTTACTTAATTCATATCTTATGTATTTTATAATAAGTAATTCTACTTACTAACTATAGTTTTTATAAAAGATAAAATGTTCGTTTATTTAGTTCTTTGGTACACCAACAGATTAAAATTTTTTTTCTAATAGAATACAACAATAGCATTGTAAGTTTACAATCCAATTATAGTTGTAATCCACATTAACAGAAATGAAACAGCATACATTGATTTTTAATATAAAAATAATATTAATGAACAATAAAACCTACACACAAAATAAGAATACAAAACAAAACTACCAAATTATGCATATAAACTATTAGTTATCAATGTATGCAAAACACTTCGATACGTTGAAAATTTTTGATAGAATATTAATTTTTAATAGTAAACAAAATAACGCACACGAACGAAGTCTCGAGTTAAACCTAGTTCGCAGATCAAAAGAAAAGAATGCAAAAGGATTTGTAGAATTTTACAGTAGGTTTCCTACCTATAAACCTCCGATAAGGATAAGTATATAGTCCAATATGTTTAGTGGGTATTCTGTCAAGCATAGGTATTCCGAGATTCTGTATAAAGTATTTGCGTATACTCAATAGTAATCTCGTTGAACTCTATTCAAGGCAGTATGCGTACTTTTCCAAACAAATTTATAACCACATGGGTTTCTGTAAATTTAGCCAACTAGATGAGAGTATTAATCTTTATTTATATAAGATACAAATTGGAGAGTCTACGATTTTTTCTCCAAATCAGTACGATTTTGTTCTCATTTACTCAGTCACAAATTTATATCAATGTTTACAATGATTTACCACATAACATCATAAAGCAATCGACGAAAAATTCTCTATGAATTAATTCAAACATTTTTCAATCAAATCCAAGCATTTGATTATTACCTAATGGATTGTAGTAACAGAAACTATACCATTAACATCATCGAATATTGTATATGATATCCCTGATGCGTTTACAATCATCTGCTCCCCTAAGACAAGCGACACAAGAATCTATTGATACGTGTTAAATTTTCGCTACCAAATGTATGAAATAAAGTTAAACAGCAACGTCTGTGATATCGTTTTTTCTCAGGGGGTTGGTAGACTTGTTATATAATATAATAAATATAGCATTATAATAATTATAACATTATTATTCCTTCTTGCCTTAAGAGTGATGGGCGCTTGCTGCGCCACTCAGCTATTAATGACATTCTCTGTCAGGCTCTTGTCATTGCGGGCATGCCTGCTATTCTCTTGCAAGAGACCTGACGGGATGTCCTTGGTACCTTGGAGGATGGGACGTCCGCTTGTATGGGATTTCACCTGCACCGTTACCGTCTCACCTTCCAAGTACATCCAAGAGGGCTAGTGCCGCCGCAACACACCAGGAGACTATCAAGTGCCGTAAATATTTATCCCTTGGAAATGGATATATATTTGCGGTGTTTGGAGTTGAAAATCTGGGTCCGTGGCCCCGAGGCCATGAATCTTTTCAAAGAGATTTTACGCAGGCTGGTGGAAGCCTCTGGTGACCAGAAGTCATTTTGTCAGTGAACGCATTTCCATTGCTATTCAGTGTGGAAATGCAACAAATATCCTAAGTACCCCCCAGCTGGCAGTGATCTCAAAGAAATGTTTTATCTTTAAATAGTTTTTTAAGTTCTTGTTCTTGATATATATAGCACGTTATAGATGTTAGATGTGTATATAATAGATAGACTATATTTTTTACATATTAACAATGTTAGATAATTATATACATTATAATAATTATAACATTATAATAATATTACATATTAATAATACTGTTACGTGAATATTAGTTTGTATTTGGACTATGAAATCATGAACCTGTTATTTTTTTCAGAGGATTTACTTACATGATCGGCCCATACTAATTTACTGCAATTTGGGCAGATAGGTAGGCCTTTTTGTAGAACACATAATTATATAACTAAAATAATTTAAAGTTTTAAATTGACAAACTAACATATGATATGTGGAATAAAATAAGTACTAATAAAGAAGTAAAAAATAATACATTTCATTTACAAGTATTAAGAATTTCCTCCTTTTTGATGTCGCAGTTTTTCTAAGACGCACGCGTACTTATCTTTTAGTTATCTCATTAACTTTCGTAATGAGGTCTAGTTAATGAGTCCAGTCACAGTAAACCGTGTCCTACTTCGTAAAAGGAAGTATGGAAGGAGTTTATTAGAACTGAGTAATATACTGAGTGAACTGATCCTCGCCCACACAATAAACAAAGGATTGTCAGGGCCGCTCAATCATAATATGATAGAAATAGCTTTGTATCTAACATTACTTAAACACATTATCTACGAGTATTTACCTAGTAATGGAACTGTGTTCATTATACAAGTCTATATATTATTTCGTGTTTATTATTATTATATATATTTTTCTACTTTATTTTTCTTTATTGTATTTTCCTTTGATCTATTTCTACAGTCTAATTATTACAAGTATGTTTTCATAATTGTATTCTGATAGAAATAGTGAAATATGGGAATAAAATGACTGGGTGCGTTAATTCAAGTTTTTATTGCCTCATCAAAGTTTAGCAGTACCTAACCCAAAAAAGCCGAGGGGCAAGGGATTAGTAATGGAGACTAAAAATCCCATTGCTAGCAATATACCCAACCAAGTCGACGTCCTCGTGGTTCCCCCTGGAAACTATCATGGTTAATTCCTGATGAATTCATCATGATGGGCTAACTGGCCTGTTTTCATTCTCATCGATTACCCTTCACTGGTGCTCCGCCAGCGTATCCATTAGCGCAGGCGGGATTACCATTCCATTTTTATCCACCAAAAAAGC